GTATTTATATAACCCAAGGTCTGCCAAGTATTAAAGGAGCCTTTATCTACTGTCAGTGGAGGGGCTGTGTGTGTCGTTTATTAATTCCAAACTCCGAAATGTGTATTGCAGAGCCCTGCATTCTGATCAATCTTTACCTAAAACCCTTGAGGACCCACATAGCTGTCTTTACAACTCTCTCTCTCTTTAATCTTATTTTATTTACCTACTTATTTCTATCCCACCTTTATTATTTCTACCAATAACATAAGGTGGCAAACATATCCAGCACACCTTCCTCCCCCTCCTTCTATTTTCCAACAACCATAATATGTGGTGGGTTCAGTTGAGAATGAGTGACCGGCCCAAAGTCACCCATCCAGCTTTCGTGACTAAAATGGGGCTTGAATTCACAAACCTCCCACTTTCTAGCCTCATGCATTATTCCTTCATCAATGAATATCTTGCAAATGCATACAAATTCAGAGGCCTTTTACTTAACAGGAAGGACCATGGAAAGGAACAGAGGACAAGCCACTCAGGAACTGTAGTCATCTTCTCAAATGTGCTGTTTACGGAAAAGCCTGAAATGGGGAAGGTTAGGAAATCAGACCCTGGAGGAAATGTGTGGGCACAAAACGTGTCTCTCAACACCCCCCCCCCAGGGGAAGGGGCTCCAGCCAAGGCCCAGCAGATGTGGGCTGGTGCAACACTTACGCTTGGACAATCTGAAAAACAAAGAACAGCAGAATGAGGAGAACGGATCCCACCAGGATGTAGCGCAACAGCTGAGGGAAGGTGCCTGGAAGAGACAAAGAAAATGGCCTTCTCATGGGCCACTAGCAGAGAAAAGCCCACTATTCAGAAACAAGCTGAGAGGGCTGTTTACTGGCTTAGGATCTAACAAGAGAAAATCCTGTTAAAAACAAACAAACAGGGCAGGGATTTGAAGGCATAATCTATGTGTTGCGTCAAGCAAGTGATCCTCCCTTGGACTTCTTTTTCTAATAAACAGCTTTAGAAGCCCCAACATGGAGGGTGGGGGAGCCGAAGGGAAGAATTAGGGCTGTAAAATAAGGGCAGATACAACACATACACGGGCAATTTATGCTTCTTTTAGCCTGATACTATAATTTTCATGCGTTGCCTGATTTTGGTCTTCCCAGAGGAGATTCTGGCAATCCCTGGAACAGTATTTCTCAACCATAGCAACTTGAAGATGGGGGGCTTCAACTCCCAGAATTCCCCAGCCATCCATGCTAGCTGGGGAATTCTGGGAGTTGAAGTCCACCCATCTTCAAGTTGTCATGGTTGAGAAACTCTGCCCTAGAGGGTATACAAACTGATGTCTCACTTGGAGCAATAAATTCGGGTTTTTCTCCAATAAACTTATAGACAGCTAAGATCTTCTCTTTATCGGAGTCAGGGTAGTCAAACCAAGGTGTCTCATGGGATAAGGACTCCATCGTCTCGTTGACATCATGTAGTTTTTCCACAGGTGCTATGGGCCAAAAAAATAAACACACCCATCAGAGAACACAGGAAAGCATTCCTGATGTCAAAGGGAAGTTACACTTCTTAAATTAGTTCATATTATTACTGATAAAGGAGAAAATATCCTTCCTCCCTTACTTTTATATCTATTTTCAAAGCAGGTGAGCTAACCACTCTATTCTTCAAACATAATCATCCTTACATTCAGTCATAATTTTTATATCTATCTTCTTTCCTTTAGTATTTTATGGAAGGTCTCTCTTAAGCATTCAGTACCCATCTATTATGTGGTCAATTAATTGTTCCCCAAGTCTTTCTTTAGAAAATGAGCAAACCTTTTCCTGACTACAATGCATATGGCCAGGAACTAATGAAAAAGTGCTTAAGTTTATCAAAATGTTTTTTTCCCCATATGTGGATACGGCTATGATAGTAAGCTCTAGAAGTATCCCAAGTCATTCCAACATCTCTTTTGTAGTTTAAAAGAATTAACCACTTTTAAATAGTGTTAATGGGGAGCTAGAATCAACTTTGGTCTGGCACTGAAGCATCTGTGCTGGGGACTCTATCTAAACACAATTCTGAGGTGAAAGCCATATATCCATGTATAGTTGTAGAACTGTATTGTGAACAGATTTTTTTCAAATGTGCACAAGCTCTAAGAAGCTGCCTGACATTTATGCTGAGAACTTCAAAAAAGGGATTGATTAACAATAAAATAATCAGTATATTGACTTTACATTTTTGGAGCCTGGGTTCATTCCTCATATAATACTGGATGTTATGTGGATGATTTGGCTCTAGTTTGGTAGGTTGAATGGAATTATTTTGCCAGACCATAGTTGGACAAACCATAGCTTAGTGATATATAAACCCAAACTAAGATTGAAGTTTCCTTTTAATTAGCTGCCATAGCTTGTCTGCAAAAACACGGATGGCCACACAATGGTAGCAGATCTACTCACATACGGCCACTGTACACCAATCTAAATTTTCTTTTGCTGCAGTAGGTGTAACTGTAGAATTAAGATGGATAATACTAAATTTTAAGTCAAAAGGGGAAAGTTGGGCAGGAGAGCCTGAGCTCACCTTCCATTAGTTGATCAATCCATTTCTCCTTGGAGAGATTTGCAAAAGTGCATAAGATGCAGAGAAACAAAGATTGCACTTGGCTCGGCATAATGGCTCAGTCTTGCCTCTCTCACATCCAAACACATATATATACTTAATGACCTCACAGTGCATGCTTCTTTCCTCACATTCCAGATGACTTTTCTGCCACAACAATCAAGATTCCAAACACCCCCCTCCTCCAATCCACGTTCTATCATTGCTCTCAGGAGCAATCCTTCCAAAAAAAGATGAGTAATAAAGCAGAGAATGGTATGCAACAGAAAAAGAGGTTTATTTTATACTTTTGCTCCCATCAAAAGATCCATACATTTTGGAGAAGCACATTATTATATAACCCATGGTGCCCTGCCATGTTCTTGTAAGGCACTCATTAAGTAATAATAGAGAGCATTCATCTAGAGTGCTTCTTTCCCCCTTCATTTCATGTCTCCGAAGGCTTGGGAAGAATCCCCAGTAGTCCTCCAGCAGCTGTGAAGAGGTTAATAGGAGAAGAACCATCCGTAATGAGGGTGGACTGGATTCCCAGACCTTGGAGTATTTTGACCTGCAAGGAACAGAAAGCAAAAAGTCGTGCACCACGGTTTCCAAATCTCAGATGAATATTTCTAACCTGCTATCACGTTGGGGCATCTGAGATGGGTCTGAGGAGAGATCCTGCTCTTCTATAGGTAGTCCTTGACTTACAACCATTCATTTTGTGACCGTTCTGAAGTTATATCGGCACTGGAAAAAGTGACATGAGCAGTTTGCAGCATGCCCATGGTCATGTGATCAAAATTTGGGTGCTTGGAAACTGGCATGTATTTATGACAGTTGCACTGTTTGGGGGGGGGGGGTCACGTGATCACCATTCATAACTTCCCCAGCGGACGTCCGACAAGCAAAGTCAATGGGAGGCAGAAACCAGATTCACTTAACGATCGCACGGTTCACTTAACAACTGTGGCAAAAAGGTCGTAAAGTGGGGTACAACTCACTTAACAGCTTAGCTTGCTTACCAATGGAAATTTTGGGCTCAATTGTGGGTTGTAAGTCAAGAACTCCCTGTAGTTTATTGTGCCCTATGCTTTCTCTTAGATCAGTAGGAATGTTCACCCCTGCCTTATGTCTTCATGCAGTTTGGCCCAGCTTGGTGTTCTCTAGATATAGTAGAATTGACCCTTCCAGAATTCCCAACCAGAACTAGAGGAAAACCATATTGGGGAAGGTTGATCTGACCCTCACGGCCAGTGGAGGGGTGTAGACAAGAAGCCACGGTCCACAACCCCTTGTACTGTTGCATTCTAACTCAAAACGAATAAACTATGAGTTCAAGCACACCCATTATTTGGAAGAACAATGTTCTCCTAGTCCCTCCTTCCTTTCTCTGCTTCTCACCTGCATCTCTGGCCCAGCCACTGCAATATCGCGGATCGTGCTGGGTCCGAGGGATTTGATCACAGCTTCAAATTTCTTGACTTCAACAGCAGCCAGAGCTTCTGCCCGGGTCACGTCCAAGTTGGCTTGCTCTTTGGCGAAGCGCAGCTCCTGTTCCCGGGCTTGTGCAAGACGCAGCAGTTCTGATTCCTGGAAAAGATTAGAAGGAGGGAGGAAGAAAGGTGAACACACAGGCAGAATCCTAACATTAAAATGAAAGAAAAGGAGCAACCAATGTGATTTTTAAAATACTCTGAAACAATTCATACAACACCATTGCATACCATTTTTTCCTCTTACTTCTTACTAGAGATGCTATACCAACCAATGGGTCTTCTCTAATTTGCCTTTACTTTTCCCACTAAAGTCCTAATATAAAGTTTACTAAGACACCCATTCTATGAGCAAAATTTATTATCTGCATATAAAACAATGGATGTCATCTAAAGACTTTAAAATTCAGCATGTGCTTCTTAGTCTGACAAACAGCTATCATCTGTCATCTAGCAAGTGCAGACACCTGCTGGCATCTACAGCCCATTGAAGAAGTTTGAAGAAAAGATTAGACGGACAGTTGTCCACAGTGCAATAAAGTTTGCTGCCTTGGGCAGGGGTTGGGCTAGCAGACCTCCAAGGTCCCTTCCAGTCCTATGATTTCATGGTTCTGTAAATTGTTATGGCAGAATAGTAAAAAGTCACAGGCAGAATCTGACTCTTCTTTGTTATATATATAACCAGAGATAGTTTTGTCTATGAGAAAAACCAAATACAAAATCCAAATTGATGCAATGCTTTTTCTAGGAACAACCAAACTTTTGATTTCTCTAGAACTCTTCATCAAACAAGGAGATACGAATGGCAGGAATGGAAAGCAGCAGCAAAGTTAAAGAACAAGGCCAGGAATTGTAGCCTACAAGTGCAGTTCAGAGCTGGCTACAGGTTGAGAGCATCTGTCATCAGAAGATGCTTCATATATTTCAGTTATAATTATGCCTAGAATTCTGAGAGGAGAATATCCCATACAGGCTTTGTTCTGAAAATTAAAAGCATTAAATCATGCTTGGACTGGGATCAAGCACATGAAAGCTTCAGTGGCTAAAAGCAGAGGAAGGAAGGAATTTAAGATCACATCACAAAATTCAGGGGCTACAGCTCAACCTCCTAATTTTCTCTAAGGGTGTTTCTGGTGCTTCTCAGCACTTTCTGGACTTTTGATGAGTGGGGAGATTCTGGAAGTTAAACTGACCTGAAATTGGTATCTTTTTTTTTCTAGGCCACTTTTAGGTACCCTGTTTTCCCCAAAATAAGGCCTCCCCAAATAATAAGCCCAATCAAGCTTTTGAGCGCATGTGTTAAAATAAGCCCTTCCCTGAATATAAGCCCTCCCTGAAAATATTGCAACACAGCAGCAGCCGTGAGGAGACCACGCTCACCACCTCCTGCACCTCAAAAATAATAAGACCTCCCTGAAAATAAGGCCAAGCGCTTATTTTGGAGGTCAAAAGAAAATAAGACCCTGTCTTATTTTCGGGGAAACACTGTAGTTTTCGTACAAGAAGGAGGGATGGTTAAGAAGGACAGGCAGGAATGATTGGCAAAAAAAGTCTACTTCTTCACCAATATTGAAAAGGCCCAAAAATTGAACTTTCAAGCCATTTATGGATGAAAATTGGTAACAAGAGGTCTTCTGCTCCTATCTTCATCTTTTTTTTAAGGAAAATAATCAAACAATATTCCCGTTTCCAACCCTAATCCAGTGAATTTCAAGAGTGCAGTCTTGATACGGGTGCCCTATTCTGTCCATGTATGCTCTACTTAACTGAACCGCTAGCTTGGGACTAAGTACTAAACAAGAAAAAAAAAGGGATGGGGAATGCTTAGAATAGGTTGGAAAGATGCAAAATCAGTTACTCTATTTTTCAGATACTATGTTTTCTTCTAGCTCATGATGCTCAGCACTGGAGGGCAGATTAGCATTCACAGCCGCCATCAAGAAGCTAGTTCGCCTAAAAAGGTTTGTGGGAGGACTGGCAGGACTTACTGTCTCTATGGCAGTAGCTTGAGCCTTCAGCTTGGCCTGCAGAACTGCTCCTTCTCCTTCAATTCGGGCTGCCTCTGCTCGGGACTGGGCCTCTGCCTTGGCAGCTCCTGTGCTCTCCACAGCCGTGCTGGGAAAATGGGAAAGGGGAAGCAGAGTGCCTTTTAGAAATACTATCTCAATATGCAATCAAAAACTAGATCAGCTTCCCCAAACTTGCAACCTCCAGATTTAATGAGGAGTCCAGCTCTCACAATTCTTAGGTAGAGCTGCCTGGGACCTCAGATAGTAGGAAAAAACTAAGTTTGGAACAAATGTCCATGAGGTAACAGTTCCCACACACATATGTGCTTGGCGTTTCCGACTCTAGGGGGTGGTGCTCATCTCCGTTTCTAAGCTGAAGAGCCAGTGCTGTCCAAAGACATCTCCGTAGTTATATGGCCAGCATGACTAAATGCCATAGGTTCATGGAACGCTGTTACCATCCCACCAAAGGTGGTCCTTATTTTTCTACTTGCATTTTTATGTGCTTTCGAACTTTTAGGTTGGCAGAATCTGAGACAAGTAGCGGGAGCTCACTCCGTTAAGTGGCGCTAGGGATTTGAACCACTGAATTGCCAAACTTCTGATCGACAAGGTCAGCGTCTTAGTCACTGAGCCACTGTGTCACTATAAATGTCCATAGTTGGGCCTTAAAACAACATGGATCCTACACACTCACCTCAGTGCTTCCAGCTCTAAGAGCTCCTTCCGGGCTCGTTCTGCCTCAGCCTGATCAAGGATTTTCTGCCGTTCAAGACGACTTCGAGCCTCTTGTTCCAACCTCTCTGCCTCATGGCTGGAGAGGGAGAGGGAGAAGGAGAGAGGGAGAGGGAGGGAGGGAGGGAGAATGGGATCAGAGGAAATGAACACCACAAAGGGAAACAAGTTTACGTAAGATGCATCTCTTTATTCCGGGAAAAATTCTCCAGATATAAATTAGAAGAGACTTTGTCAGGAAGGAAAGAACAGGCTGTTTCCATTTTTGTTTGTTTTTGAGAAAACAAGAAGCTGGAGAAGAACACCTTGGTACTTAAACTGCTTTGAAACTCATTGAATTTGGTACTCAACCCATTTTGATATAAAAATTTTGTCCCGGTATTCACTGTTGTTTGGTACTCAATATATAAGCTAGAACGTGTCAATGTGGCTGCCTTGTTCCTTATTATTCCTTATGGGAAAAAATTGTTTTGGTACCCATCATTTTTAGTACTCAGCCTTAATCATCAGGAGACTGTGAGTTCTAGTCATTAAGTCAGCTGGGTGGCTCTGGACTGGTCACTCTCTCTCAGCCCAACTCACCTCTGAGTGTTGTTGTTGTGGGGAAAATAGGTGGAAGGAATGTTAGGTATGTTCACCGCCTTGAGTTACTGATCAAGTAATAAAAGTGGAATAAAAATTAAATAAACAAATTTAAATTCCCCAGAGATTCTGGGGCAAGTTACACATATTGTTAATAATAAGAAGCGAATAGAGGGAACCTGGTTGCTTCCCACCCCAAATGCTCCATACCGAGCAGCAGCTTCCTGAGAGTTGGTGGTGATCTCAATGGCGAGCTGCACACTGCGCTGAAGAGCGTCCCGTGTCCGTTGGTCCACCGGCTCCACACTTTGAATGTCAACGCTGCTGATGACTAGGCCATTTGGGGCGAAGCGCAAGGAGTGACGCAGGGTCCCTTCTCCATCAAACCCAAAGACGGCAGCACAGATCAGACGATTTGAGTTCTAGGAACATCAATTTAAGTAAGAAAATTCACAAACAGAAATATTAAATATTAACCCCCTCAAAAAGTCTGTCTTCACTTCACCTCACAGTGACTTCCCTCAAGGTCACTTAAAGCAGCATTTTTCAACCTTGGCAATATTTAAGATGAGTGGACTTCAACTCCCAGAATTTCCCAGACAGCATACTGGCTGGGGAATTCTGGGAGTTGAAGTCCACTCATCTTAAAGTGGCTGAGGTTGAGAAACACTGACCTAAAGTACCGTATTTTTCAGAGTATAAGACACACTTTTACCCCCTAAAAAAGGCTGAAAATTTGGGTGTGTCTTGTACGCCAAATGTAGTGTTTTCAAAGCTGTTTTTGAGCCCTAATGAGGTGCTAACAAGTGAAGCGATCTTCCGTGCTTTTCCTGCTTTTCTCATTGCTTCTCTCTCCAACGATCAGCTGTGCTTTTGAACTGTTTTTAATCCCCAACCATGGAATAAAAAGCACGCATGTGCATGCTCAAATCTAGCAAACCTATATTCTGAAGCTGACCAGACTAAGGAAACTAGCCAGATGAATACCTGGTAGGCAGAATCCCCCCCCACCCTATTTTCCTCCTCAAAAACTAAAGTGCATCTTATATTCTGAAAAATACAGTACATTTTTCCTCCAGCGCGCAGGTCACACCATTCCCATCTGGAAAGTCCTTTCTCTCCAAGAAAACAACCAAGCTAAGAGAGCAGCAGAGTGGATTGCAATGCCTCAGCTGGGCTCAGCTCAGTTCACCAGCACTGACACCAAGGGTGGTCTTTGTGTGCTGCGCGCATAAATGCTCTCTCATAGAACCGGTAGGAAAATATTTGGAATCCCACCACTGATCCTTAGTCACACATCTCACTTTTTCCAATCTGTGTTCATGGATAAACAAAACCTCAGGGACGGGAAGCTGTATTTTTAATAGTTGGTTTTGAAGGGCAGTATACCAAGTTTAAAAGTAAATAGGGATTTACACATAAGAGAGGTCACCAAATCCTCAGAATGTTGAGGGCTAAATGGCAGAGTTTCTGGTGGGACCAGAGTCATGGAGGAGAAGCTAAAGTTAAGCTCACCTTATGGAAATCATCAAAGGTGACAGCAGCCACAGCTCCCCGAATGCGTGAGGCCAACGTCTTACAGGCATCACCTATAAAATCTGGGACTGAGAAAAGGCGGGTTGCTTCAGCCGCTGAAGGAATCTCAAAGTGCCTAATGGGAAAACAGATCCATGTTACAAAGGAAACCTGAGAAGATTGAGAAACCACACGTCGAAGGAGATTCTCAGTCATCCAGGTCATGGTTGCCCCAAAGGTGCTTTTTTCCCCAAGAGGCAACTGGACTGTCTTTTGTTTTTCCTTGAAGATGTTTCGCTTCAGAGCCAAGAAGCTTCTTCAGTGAAGACTCTTGGATGAGAAGTGAAACGTCTTGAAGGAAAAACAAAGAAAGTCCAGTTGCCTTTTGGGGAAAAAAGCACCTTTGGGATTTACAAGCCAGTTAAAATCAAACATCACTTAGTGTCATGCAACAACTCAAACAATATTTAAATATTTTCAAAGCAGAAATTTAAATAGTTCATTAAGAAAATAAGACTGGAGAATTAAGGCAATTAAATATATTTGATAAAGCAGATGTACCATATGGCATTGGCATAATGAGGATTAGATCACATTTAAAAATGGA